TCCTTCCTTCCTTCCTTCCTTCCTTCCTTCCTTCCTTCCTTCCTTTCTTTCTTTCTCTCTCTCTCTCTCTCTTTCTTTCTTTCTTGGCTCGCCCTTCCTTCCTTTCTCTCTTTATTTTTTGTTACTCTTTTCCTATCCTCTTCACAGTTGTCTTGAGACCAACTCTAACTCCCTGTGTATCTAGGTCACTCAGGCTGCCAGGTCCCCAGCAGAAGGGAAAGCTCCGGGTATCCCCACCCCCCAACACAAGCTGCCAGCAAGAGCCAGGCCTGAGACCCAGCTTCCCAAGGATGGCCTTCACCACCCCAGCTCCTCACCAGGTGTCTCAGGGACCAAGGAGACAGCAGGAGCCTGCTACCTTCTTCGTGTGTGTGTGTGTGTGTGTGTGTGTGTGTGTGTGTGTGTGTGTGTGTGTAGGGCACTTTGAAGAGACTGTGCTGGCTTCATCTGCTACCCATTTGTTCCCTGGTCCCCTGGCCCATCCTGACTGTCAGATGTTCTGACAGCCACCCAAGAATTCCTTGAAGCGTCCTCCTGACCTGCTTTAGCTTCTCTCTAACCAGAACCAGCCCCTAGACCATGCACCCCAGCGGGACCTCAAATGCACCCCAGCCCATGGGAAAGCACCCACCCCCTCCTTGCCTGTTCACTGCCAACCCTCAGCCAGGTCTCCAAGGAAGGGCCCACTGTCAGACTGTCACACTGGAGGGCAGAGGAGTGTCTTCCCTGGGGCTTCCCCCTGCGGGCCCAGGGGCTAACGGCCCCATCTAGGCTGAGCTCCTCCCTGACTCGCTGTTCAGCAAATGAGCTCACTCGTTTTAATCAGCCTGTCTATGCGCTCCCCGCCCACCCCTGCGCTCCCCGCCCACCCCTGCGCTCCCCACCCACCCCTGCGCTCCCCGCCCACCCCTGCGCTCCGCCCACCCCTGCCTCGCTCCCCTTGCCCTGTGGGTGTCTTTCCTGTCCCAGCCTCCATAGTCAAACATGAGTCACTTGCTGACAATTCAGCAGCCAAGCTGCAGAGCCTGGTTCCAAAAGCCATTAGAAGAAGATGCTGGAGGACTAATGTGGGACTCTGTGTTCAGAGCTAAGCACCCAGTCGAGGCTGCGGAAACGGAAGTGGAGTGGCGGGGCGGGGAACGCAGGGGTGCCATGTGTCCTGACTCTGGCTCCCTCCTGTGTCTCTTCCTTTTTTCTCCAAGAGCAGAGCCTCCATGTGAACTCGGTGGTCTCTCAATTTTCTTGAGGTCACAGATTGCCACGGTCAACTCCTTCACCAGTGCTCAGGACACCAGTGACGCTGTCTAAGCAGGAATCATAGTCCCATACAAATGGGGCCGCCCAGCAGGGCCTGCAGGGCCAGCAGCATGAAGGAAAGCCGTGTCCTGTGCAGGAACCACAAGCCTGGACCAAATGGCAACACTGGTCAGCAGTGGGGCATAAGATCATAATGGAGCTGAAAAATCCCTGTCCCCTAACGATACTCCAGCCATCACAGGCTGTGGCAAAATACATCTCCATGCGTCTGTGATGACTCTGGTGTCAAGGAACCTGCTACACACGGCGCTGGTTTGTGTCTGCAGTAGGGTGCCTTTCCTTGTGATTTTAGGGTACACTATGTGGTAAAAGCTTCACTGTAAGGCATGTGCCGTAGGAAATGGCCAGGTCTGTCCAGGGCTTACAGTGTCTGTGATGGCATCCTTCCTTCTGTGTTCTGTCTAATCTGGTAGTGTCCTGCTCATCACGGGCCTCGGAGCAACAGGCTCTGCCACACATATCTCACATAGCCAGATGTGTGGTAAGGTTACCACGGTTGGTGTGTCTAAGTGCACTGTGATCAGACAATGACAGAACCTTCCAACAGTCTCAGAATGCGCCCCCAGTGCTAAGTGACATGTGACTGCGCTGAGCACAAACTAAGAGGCAGCCACGTGTGTAAGGAAATAGGCGAGGCTCTTTTGGGGCCAACACTCCACTCCTGACTCTGGAATCCTCTATCTGGAAAGCGGGATAGAACAGGGCTTGGCACAGTGATACATGCCGGCTCTGGGAAGATGGAGGCAGAAGGATCAGCCTGAGTTGCCTAGAAAGACCTTATCTCAAAAGTAAAAATGGCCTGGAACAATGGCTAAGCAGTTAAGAGCACTTGTGGCTCTCGAAGACGACCCAGGTTAGGTTCCTCCAGCTCCCATCCGGTGGTTCATATCACTTCTAAGTTCAGTTCTAGGGAATCTGATGCCCTGTGGCTGCCTTGAACACCAGGCATGTACATAGTGCACATGCATGCATTTAAGCAAAACACTCATACACATAAAATTTAAAAAAAAATAAAGTAAAATTATACACATACACACACATGTGCACAGAGTCCCACGTGGAGTTCACATTCATGTTCATGCTGTCATGGGCTCCCTGTGGGTGGGCTGTGAGTAGTTCTCAGGGCTGGGGCAGGTACCCTCAAGGACCTGCTCTGTAAATGTCAGGATGGAACACATGAGGTACAGCAAATGCCCTGGAAACTTTCAGACCAGGGTGCGTGTGCAGCTGCCCTCAAAGTACCTTAAAGCCACGCTGGGGTTTCCCAAGGTGAGTCCAGCTTGTGGGCCAGCCCCTGAGTTCCTGGGGATGCTGGGCTCATCACTGACAGCCCCACACCCCATGCTCTGCCTAGAGCTGAATTCTTTTATGTGTTTGTTTGTTTGTTTGTTTGTTTTGGGGCACAGGGTTTCTCTGTGTAACTCTGGCTGTCCTGTAACTTGCTCTGTAGACCAGGCTGGCCTCGAATTCAGAGATCCCCCTGCCTCTGCCTCCCTCATGCAGGGATTAAATGCATGTGCCACCACTGCCCTGCTTAGAACTGGTATTTTTAAGGTAGTTGTTAATATTTGCTGAAGAGTTGAGCCTGGCCCCCGACAGGATGTTGGGTAAGTAAGTGACTCTCTGGCTGCTTGCATATGTGAGTTGCATTGACCCTGTAAGAAATCAGAATGAAATCTATTCTCCTGCCTCAGCTAGGATGCAGTGGTGTGCTGGCATGATGGCTTCCTTTATGAAAACGACTTTAAAGCATTCCTTTACTCAGAGTCCCTTTTGAGTGTGTCCCATTTCGGACTGAGCCGATTACTTGAGGGCTCCCCTGCTTCTGGGTCTGATGATGCTCTGGCCTAAAAGCAGTGACTAGCCTCAGAAGAAGAAAGGCTTCATGTCACAGAGCGCCCCTCTGAAAGGGAAGCATTCCTGAGACTTCAGGTGGAGGCTGCAGCAAGTGGCCGTCTATCTGGGGACTGGCTCGGGCCACCTGCCATCGGAGCCTGCAAGCATCTCTACAACTACAAAGCAGAAGGACTCTGGGCCTGTGGATCTGTTGGCAACACCCCAATAATCACAGGTACCATGAGGGTAGCACTGGAGCCGAGCTTCCCAGCTCACAGGCAGAGGCGCGCTCCTGCCACCTGGCAAGGGGTCCTTGCCGGAGGGCCCCTCATGAAGAATGCAGAGCATGCAGGACCACTGCAAATTGTTGCACGCGTTTGTGTTCATCTAGGTCAGAAATATATTCTAGCACAGCAGGCCCGTGATTTCACTCACGTTATTATCATTCAGGTTGTAGAAAAGGCACGTGTTTGGATTAGAACAAGTGGCTCCGTTTGCTAAAACACGCTACATGGCACAGACAACAGAAGCCGTGAGGGGGGCACACTGAGGTCTGGGCTTCGGCTGCTCTTTGCTGCTGTGGCCGTTGTTGTAAAAGCACATACTTGCTCTGAGCTCCCTGCTCTGGCCTTCTGTCACAGGGACCGGGATTTCTGAAGTCCACGCAGTGTGTGATAAATATTCAATATGGAGGTAGGAAGTGGACCTGACTGGGGTTTGTGTTGTTGTTGTTTTGCCTTCCTTCCTTCCTTCCTTCCTTCCTTCCTTCCTTCCTTCCTTCCTTCCTTCCTTCCTTCCTCCCTCCCTCCCTCCCTACCTACCCCCTCTCTCTTCCTCTCTCCTCCTCCTCCTCCTTCTCCTTGTCTCAGCAACAGGAGTTTTCAGGAGTCTCATCTACAGCAGACTAGGAAGCCAAGTGCTGGGAAGATGGCTCATACAGAGGACCCAGGTTCAGTACCCAACACCCAAATGATTGTTCAAACCCATCTGTAATTCCAGTTCCAGGGGATTCAACAACATCTTCTGGCCTTATATACCTTTAATCCCATCACTCACAGGCAGAGGCAGAAGGATCTCTCTGAGTTCAAGGCCAGCCAGATCAGCTAGGGCTACACAGTAAAATCCTGTCTTAAAAAACAAACAAAAACTAAATTAAAAAGGAAAAAAGAAAGTCAAAAGACTCCTCAAAGGAACAGAGAAGGAGTAAGGAGGCTACCACATCACTTCAGATCATCCTAACTTCTGATCAGACCTGAACTTGAGCTGGCTGGCATGCCTGGATGAGCAGAAGGAGGGCAGAGGAAATCATCCCTGGAGGAAGATAATATCCAGAGCTTTAATGATCTTTCACAGTCCTGTTTCATCTGACAGCCAGTGGAATGCAGGAATACAGGAAGACCAAAAATCAAGAGTAAAACAATGCACTAAAAGCATATCGCCAGTGTGCCCAGGTAGCTGGGAGATTGGGACTGAACTTTCAGATCTATGCAATCAATATAGCCAAGAAGCCAGGAAACCAAAGTTTCAGCTGAGAACTGGAATTATAAGAAACGGAATCAAATGAAAATTCTGAAATAAACAACAAAGAGCTGATAAATGTAATGGAAGATCTGTACATGTAGAATCCAACACGTTGTTGAGGGAAGTTAAGGATTGTGAGTAAGTGGAGAGATATACTGAGTTCCTGAGCTGGGAGATGGGTGTGTTTTCATGGCCAACTCTTCACAAGTTATCAGTTGAAGTGCCAGGTTTCAAGAGTAGAAACGGAACCTTATTCTAAAACATATGTGGTCATACAAAGGACATAGAATAAACATTTTGTTTTGTTTAAATTTTTTCCTTTTAATCAAGTTTTTATTAATTCCTTGAGGATTTCATGCATGTATTTTGACTGTGTTCGAATACCCCAACCCCTCCCATATCCCCTCACCCTCCCGCCCACCCAGATTTGAGTTTCCCCCACCTCCGTCAGGTCAGTTTGTGTTACCCAACCACTCCGGGAAGCAGGGCTTGCCCTGGAGAATGGCTGACCCCCCAGGGGTCAGTCACTAAAAAAGCAGACTCCCTCCCCCTCCCCTCCGTCAGTATCACACGCCAGTGGACCCTCGGCTACAAGCCAAACCTTCTGACAGAGGATGGGGGCAGGGGCACTGGTGCGAGCTGAGGAGGGGGGGCACTGGTGCGAGCTGAGGAAGGGGGGCACTGGTGTGAGCTGAGGAA